AGTTATTCTAGCAGGACAGGGTGTCCCTGCTGGAGTCACTCGTGGCCAGGCAGCCTTCCAGGTTGCAGCAGTTGGTTCCAATGCTGCTTCTGGAGTTTCTTCTGGAAACAGTGGATCTAGCTTCACCTCTGGATCAAGCTTTTCTTCTGATTCCTCTGCAGAATCTAGCTTCTCTGCTGGTTCTGCTGAAACTACAGGATCTCAGTTCACATCTTCTGCTGGTACTTCCTCAGGATCATCTTCCTCCACTTTCACTTCTGGATCCACATCTGGTGCCACAACTGGATTCTCATCTGGGTCTTCTGCTTCCACCTTTGCAGGAAATAATGGTGAGAGCGTTTCAGTAATTTTGGCTGGAAATGCTGTGCCAGCTGGAGTCACTCGTGGTCAGATCCAGGTCCCTGCTACCAGCACCTCTGGAATCAGTTCTGGCTCAACCTTTACATCTGGTGCATCCATTGGTACTAGTTTCAATGCTGGATCCACTAGTGGAGCAACATCAACCAGTTCTTCTGCTGGATTATCTGGCTCTAGGTTTACCTCTGGTTCATCTACTGGATCAAGGTTCACCTCTGGCTCATCAGCTGGATCATCAGGTTCAAGGTTCACATCTGGCTCAACAACTGGATCCAATACATTTACATCTGGCACAGCAACTAAGATTCATGCAGGGAAGGTTGGTGAGAGTGTAGCAGTGATTTTGGCTGGCCAGAGCCTTCCTGCAGGAGTTACTCGTGGCCAAGCAGCTTTCCAGACATCATCCCTTGCTGCTAATGCTGCTTCAGGAAGCTCCTCTAGTAATGCTGGCTCAAGATTTACTTCTACATCTGATTCATCTGCTGAAACTAGTTTCTCTTCAGGGTCAACAAGTACCACTGGATCTAAATTCACATCAGCTTCTATTGGATCATCAACTGGTTCAACATCATCTTCAGGATCCACCACTGCATCTTCTGGATTTACTTCTGGCTCCTCAGCTGGTTCCTCTGGTTCCCGCTTTACCTCTGTTTCATCTACTGGATCCAGAACATCCTCTGTTTCTGGCACATCGACCAAGACCGTCAGTGGAAATGCTGGTGAGAGTGTCGCAGTGATTTTGGCTGGACAGGGTCTTCCAGCTGGAGTCACTCGTGGTCAGGCAGCTTTCCAGATTGCTGGAGTAAATACTGCCTCTGGAGTCTCTTCTGGAAATGCTATTAAATCCAGTTTCATTGCTGGGTCCACTGGTACCACATCTACTGGATCATCTGCTGGATTAACATCAACTGTTACTTCCTCTGCCGGATCATCTGGTTCTAAATTCACTTCTGGCTCATCATTCTCCTCTGGTTCTGGCTCTGGTGCTTCTCGATTGTCTGCTTCAACTTCGGGAGCTGGACAAGGATCCTCCTCTACCTCTGGATTTAAGTTTGGTTCATCAAGCAGATTCTCTTCTGGTTCCTCAACTGGTACCGCTGCAGGAAATGCTGGGGAGAGTGTAGCAGTCATCTTGGCTGGTCAGGGGCTTCCAGCTGGAGTCACTCGTGGTCAGGCAGCTTTCCAGACTTCATCAGTGGCTGCCAATAGAAACACAGCATCTGCATTTACCTCTGGATCCTCTGGATCATCTGGTTCAAGATTGACTTCTGGTGTGTCAGCAGGAACCTCTGGCTCAAGATTGACTTCTGGTGTGTCAGCAGGAACCTCTGGCTCCAGATTTACTTCTGGCTCATCATCTGGCTCTTCAACTGGATCATCTGGTTCCAGATTTACCTCTGGTTCATCAACTGGATCCACATCTTCATTTACCTCTGGTACATCTTCAACTGGATCATCTGGTTCAAGGTTCACTTCTGGCTCAGCAACCAAGATCCAAGCAGGAAAGGTTGGTGACAGTGTAGCAGTTATTCTAGCAGGACAGGGTGTCCCTGCTGGAGTCACTCGTGGCCAGGCAGCCTTCCAGGTTGCAGCAGTTGGTTCCAATGCTGCTTCTGGAGTTTCTTCTGGAAACAGTGGATCTAGCTTCACCTCTGGATCAAGCTTTTCTTCTGATTCCTCTGCAGAAACTAGCTTCTCTGCTGGTTCTGCTGAAACTACAGGATCTCAGTTCACATCTTCTGCTGGTACTTCCTCAGGATCATCTTCCTCCACTTTCACTTCTGGATCCACATCTGGTGCCACAACTGGATTCTCATCTGGGTCTTCTGCTTCCACCTTTGCAGGAAATAATGGTGAGAGCGTTTCAGTAATTTTGGCTGGAAATGCTGTGCCAGCTGGAGTCACTCGTGGTCAGATCCAGGTCCCTGCTACCAGCACCTCTGGAATCAGTTCTGGCTCAACCTTTACATCTGGTGCATCCATTGGTACTAGTTTCAATGCTGGATCCACTAGTGGAGTAACATCAACCAGTTCTGCTGGATTATCTGGCTCTAGGTTTACCTCTGGTTCATCATCTGGAGCATCTGGTTCTAGGTTCACTTCTGGCACATCAGCTGGATCCACCACATTCACATCTGGCACA